TTCTGGGATCATAAACTACTTTTGAATGATGGGACTTACATATATCTGAATTTATAATATTGTTGTATTTAGAATCAGTTGATTAAAATTTTGAATACTTTTCAGAATATATATATATATATATAAAATGAGAGGGGCATGGTTGGTGTGACATTAGAGAGTGTAATTTGGGTGGGAAGGGGAAGTGTTTCTTTCCACATGCAATATGAGAAAAGAAATGATATATGTATTGTTTCAACCTAAAATGTTGATATTCAATTCTTTCACTTTGTGGAAGATTTGAGAGAGAGAGAGAGAGAGAGAGAGAGAGAGAGAGCTCTTCTCTGTGTGCAGATTCGGTCCCTTAAAGAAGTTGCAGTAGAAATTGTGTCAGTGCGATGGGGAATATCACAACATGACATATAGCCCCTTTTTAAATTATTTATTTATTTATTTATAAATTTGGATTCTACAACTAAGGGATCACTCAGCTGCTTTCTTATCTTTCATATACAAATCTATGTTACTCTTCACGGCACACTGCATTTTTCAATTTCTAGGGGCACATATGCCTAGAGTTTATATATATCATCTTTATCAATAAAAATTTTCTTTTTGTTCATCAAAAATATATGCCTAGGATTGTGGGAATTCGAATAAGCATTTATATGAATAATGATAGATAAATAGAAAATCATATAGATTTTTCATCGGTGGTGCTACATACATGCACTAATTAATGTACGTACTAATGTACTAACTAGTGTTATGTCATTGTTACTGACTTCACCTATTACACAAATTATAAATATCCAAAACTTTTAAAATTATGTCACATCATCTGTTAGTATATTAGTTAGTACATTAATTAATACATATAGCATTATTCATTTTTCATACATAATTATATGACTTAATAGTGACTTTTCACTTTAAAACAAAACATTTACAAATATAACTTACATTTATTACTGTCAAATTATTCTTGTAGTGTTTTTTATATGAATTTTATGTATCAATATCATAGGTAAATAACGTTTTGCACCATGCACTTTGCACCAAATCTCACTTTGATCTCTATACACACTAGAAGAAAAAATACTTTTGACGACCACCTATTTTTTTTTAGTCGCAAATAGTCCACTTTCTGCGACTAAAATTTAACTTTTGGTGACCACAAATTTTTGGTCACAGAAAATCACCTTTTGGCGACAAAAAAAAAATTGGTAGCGGAAAGTATACCTATTGGCGACCAAAGGCTTTTTTGGTCGCGGAAGATTACCCTTTGGCGATCAAAAAAAAAAGTTGGTTGCGGAAAGTATACTATTGGCGTTGGTCGCGGAAGATCACCTTTTGACAACCAAAAAAACAAGTTGGTCGCAGAAAGTATACAATTGGCGACCAAAGGCTTTTTTGGTCGCAGAAGATCACCTTTTGGCGACCAAAAAAAAAGTTGGTCGCGGAAAGTATACTATTGGTGACCAAAGGTTTTTTTGGTTTGGTCGCGGAAGATCACCCTTTCGCGACCAAAAAAAAAAGTTGGTCGCGGAAAGTATACTATTGGCGACCAAAGGTTTTTTTGGTCGCAGAAGATTACCTTTTGACTACCAAAAAAAAAAGTTGGTCGCGAAAAGTTATGGCGGAATAAATTTAAAAAAAAATGATACTACTGTAATTACATGCTATTTTTCTATTTAGGCATTAAAAGTTTTATAAAATAACATATAACCCAATTTTTTTGGGTTATATATTTTTTTTGCCGAATATGAACAAGAAGCATGTTATTGGCAAAGTGGATTGGGTGCATGGTGAGTCCTTGGTTAGGAGTTTAAGTCCCAGGCAGCACAAAAGAATTATTTTTTCTGGGTCAAGGCGCTGACTTTTGGCGACCAACTTATCTTTGGTCGCTAAAAGTTTGCTTTTGGCTAATATGAATTGGACTTTCCGCGACCAAAAAAGTTGGTCGCCAATGGTCACTTTTTTTGGTCGCTAAAAGTTCCCTTTTGGTTAATATAAATTGGACTTTTCGCGACCAAAAAAGTTGGTCGCGAATGGTCACTTTTAGTGACCAAAGGTTTTTTTGGTCGCAGAAAACTATCTGTGACGAGACTTTAGCGACCAACTCGCGACCAACATATTTTGGTCGCGAAAAGGATTTAGCGACCAAATATGGTACTTTTCGCGACCAAAATGTTAGTCACGACAAGTGTTTTTTTCTTGTAGTGACATGAAATCGTGATAATCAATCCTTTATACTTTTAGTCAAATTTCACTTTAAACCTTACACATAAAATCATAATAATTAACTCACTACACTTATAAAATCGTAACAATCAACTCATTCCACTTAGTCATGTTATGACAATCAACTCATTGCCCTCCGCATATAGGAGTGCAAAGGCTAATTGCCCAATATCATTCACAATTGACCTATGGTCTGCTTCTCATTTGCCCCACAGCACAAGGCACCAAACTATTGGTTAGATTCTTTTTAATTCTTCTGTGTTAAAATAAATTAATAAATTAATTATTTGAGCCAAGCCCTAAGTTGGTGAGTAGTTAGGTGGGTTTGGTGGTTATTGTCTGCTTGATTAGATTATTCTTGTAGTGTTTTTTATATGAATTTTATGTATCAATATCATAGGTAAATAACGTTTTGCACCTGCACTTTGCATCAAATCTCACTTTGGTCTCTATACATAAAATTGTGACAATCATTTCCTTATACTTTTAATCAAATTTCACTTTAAACCTTACACATAAAATCATAATAATTAACTCCCAACACTTATAAAATCATAACAATCAACTCATTCCACTTAGTCATGTTATGACAATCAACTCATTGCCCTCCGCATATAGGTGTGCAAAGGCTAATTGCCCAATATCATTCACAATTGACCTATGGTCTGCTTCTCATTGGCCCCACAGCACAAGGCACCAAACTATTGGTTGGATTCTTTTTAATTCTTCTGTGTTAAAATAAATTAATAAATTAATTATTTGAGCCAAGCCCTAAGTTGGTGAGTAGTTAGGTGGGTTTGGTGGTTATTGTCTGCTTGATTAGTCGTGTCATATATTGTGAAATTAATTTTCTTTGCCTTCGGTTCAAACTATTTTGACTCCACACAATGAAAAATTATTAGCTCCAGAAAAGATATTTCGTCATAATATCATGTACTTTTTTTACTAATTACAAAACTTTTATGTTTTTATGTGGTTTTCAATACTAATATAAATATAATAAATTTTACTATTTAAATCAATAAAAATGACAAATATATATGCTCTTGAGAGAATCTTTCATGGGATATAATTATAATTCACAGAATTTTCATTACACATGTCCACCATTTTTTAGTCATGCAATACACAAAAATTAAATTTCTCTTCGATTCATGGGCCTGAGCCCAATCAACTTTTCAATACCTCTTAAGATCTTATTCAGATGAGTCAAGCATCTAAAAAAGTCCAAACTCCCATGTAAGTTGATACTCTGATAAATTAGACTTAAAAAAGAGGCATTCAATACTTCATTCGTTTATACTGTGTTTGATTCGGAGTTTGAGAAAGAGGTTTGAAAAGAAAAAGAGAAAATGTGTGTGAAATTAAGTGAAATAGAAGTATATTTTATTCACATTTCATCTACTTTTTCTATTTTCATTTTCAAATCTCTTCTTAAATCTCCCAACTAAACACAATATTAAAGTCAATAAAACATGAGATTGAGTCAATTATAAACGTTAAAAAAATTGAGCACAATAATTAAAATAAGCGTAAGACCTTAAAGTAACTTGGTAATTTGGTCCAGAAGACCCATTTGGACATCTTTCCCTTTTTTCAGATTTTAAGAATAATCAAGGGGAAATAGCAATCTAGTGTGAAAAAAAAAAAAAAAAAAATACACTTCAGTGGTAAATTTTATAAAATCTTAATAATTAAAATTTTAAAATTTTTCATATGTTTGTAAATATTTTTTCAAAAGCCCACTGGGCTGTAATTCCCTCAATAATTAACCTTTCAGATAGCCATAGCTTATATACAAAGCCTAATGCAGCTAGATTGGCTTGACTTATATGGCTTAAAAACTTAAACTCACACCATATTGAACACTCTTCAATATCAAATAGCCCAAAAATATCATGGGCACAGCTTCTACAGCAATTGTCAAGCACCTCAAGGGCTAAACACTTAAATTCAAGGACAAAGAAGAGCCAATTAGTAGCCCAAGAACTCAATAAAATGAAGAAAGCTTACTTTTAGCTCAAAATTCAGTATTTGAACTCAATATTTTAGTGACATAGCATTGCCTAACCGTTCCCCATATGTAGGAAGCTTTTCAGAATAAAGCCTAGGACTTTTCTTGGCTTGTTTCAAGTTATCAGAATTTTCGATGCGATTCAATCCATTTTCAGTACTACTGAAGCATATCGACTCATTTATCGATCCAAAATCAAGGATTCATATTAGATCTTGTGATTTTCAGACAATTTGACATATGACTAACCCACTTCTGTAAAATAAAATAAGAATCTTGAGACTAATGGTTTGAAGGGTATGAGAGTGTTCAAGAGGTCTAAACATGTATGTCCCCATGAGTGAAGAAGGGGGGTGATAAGCTAGTTGTCCTTTGTGCCTCCCTCTGTCTTTTGGAGTCGATACTTTCATTTCGTCTGCTAATCAAGGGATTAGTTTTTTATTTTATTTTTAGAAATTATTTAAATAAATAAAAAAAAAGTTGATTTATCTAAAAGTTTAATGGGTACTTCTGACTGTTATATTTTGACTATCAATTTTTAACTTATAAGAAGTTACATTAAACATATCTTAATTTACATACGGAAAACAAAGAAAATCTCAACCTCTTCGAAGCTTACCATTAAACTTTCAATTTTTGTGAAAGTTTTGAAAATTCTGAAATCAATTTTCAATTTTTTGAAAATGAAAACAAATATATCAAACAAGTTTTCATTTCTAGTTTCTAAAAATCAAAAACAAAAACACCACAGAAAACAAAATCATTATCAAAAAGACCCCATACTAACTCAAATAACAAACTTAACTGCAAATTACACAAACTCGTGCAAGAATTATGTACAAGTACAACTGCAGGTTGTACTGCTCTCACACTACATTATTCAAAGAACAGCTATTCAAATTCTTCGCTATTCATTATTCAGTATTCTTCTCTATCTTAAGCACAAAGCACTGGAATATTACTCTCCTGTATTATTTATTTCCACAGCAGCCCTTAGCAAGCGCGTGCCGCAGTCAGCTGCCTAAGAACAGGTCCACAGCCCCCAGAAACTTTCAAATATGCAAAAAGACACGACAGCCTTTCAATCACAGGCCTAGCCCTTGCCGCTATGGGAGCAATTTTCAGCTCCTTGTTGCCATCATCGTCACAAGAGCTATGGTACCCTTCCAAATCTGCTTCTGTAATCAAAACTGCATCCCTGGAGGGAGAGTGTGTGGTAGATGCTAATCGTTGCTGCTTGTATTCTTGGACCACCTGTTTATCAAAAGCAGTTGATGTCGAGCAATGAACAAAATTGAAAAGTCAAATGATCTGTTGGTAGACAATGCCATTTCATTCGACTACTCTAACAACAGGCCAGTGGGCAGTATGTCAAATGTCATAAAAGACATAAGTGCAACCCTCCTTAATACTAACTGGTTTTAAGAGAGATGGTAGAACTTGGTCTGACAAATGGTATCAAAGTGCTGCCATGGGTTTGAGTCGCAGGAGAATTATTATAAGGGATTGATTGGTATGATGCAAGTGGTATCAAAGTGTTGCCATGGGTTTGATTCACAAGAGAGTTATTACAAGGAAGGGATTGCTTGGTATGATGCAATGACACTCTAAAACCTCCCTAAAAACAGGTCTATTGTCGCGATGTCAAACGACATAAAAGACACAAGTAAAGCCCTCTCCAATTGATCTAAGGAGAGATGGTGGAACTCAATCTGACATGATCCAGCGCTGATATGGTTGTAACTAGCACAAAACTTGTTTTATAAGACAAGTTAGATGGTAAGTACCCTTAAGGTCAGAGTCTCTCAGAACCTCATCTTGATCCAAAGAACAGGGGAATCTTTACAAAAGTTCTAGGGAAAATCTTACCCCAAAAATAAAGCAGTGCATATATATATAATTATGTACAAATTTCAAGGGGAAAATACAACAAAATACTTCATTAAAGCCTATACATTCAAAGGCTATACTAGAAGTTGTACACCATTCTTATTCAATTATGATTATCTTGTTTCTAAAGTTGCTGACAATGAAATATGTGCATTTCAGCCCCAAAATGCAGACAGTTCAAAAAAATCAAGAAAAACTTCACACGTGTACACTCCACCATTTCTTGATCACTTCCACCAGTGGGGAAAGAGTCCACTCAGACCTGTTATATATTTCTTTCCTAATAATTTACCTTGTATTTTACATTTAAATAAAAAGATGGCCTTATTACTTACCTTCCACTGCGAGCGAGACAAAAGCACTCGAGGTCTTTTAGAACGCACAAATTCCAGGGCAGCAGCAGGGGGCATGTGCTTATACACCACCTGCACAACTTGAACTCATTAACTCATTTCCACAAGTTCCAGACGATCTAACAGAAACTAAAACACCTAGAGCAACCTAATATGCTCATTGTAATCCAAAAAATAACTAACAGGCACATATTCAGGCAACAAATTAATAAATTTGCATGGAAAAGAACATTACCAGATAGCAAAGCACAATAGTTGTGCTCCTTCCTCGGCCAGCTTTACAGTGGACATAGGTAGTCCTACCACACGATGCATTCTCTGCATCAAAAAATGAAGAAATTATACATCAGGAAGCGAGAGATACTATGAACACAGCACAAGCAGAGAGATGTGTATAAACAAGCTTCACTTACTGTGAATGAAATCCACAGCCCGATTAATATCCACAGTTGAAGGAGCAAAGAGGTAATCTCTGGTAGGAATGACAAGATGGTCTATCCCATGAGCCTAAAACAATAATAAATAATAAACACAATGGTGAGGTGAATCTAAAAAAGGGAATAAAAAAAAGGCTTATAATATTTCCTGCAAAAAATATTATTTGAAAAGGGAAAGAAAAAAAAAAAAAGCCCTCCTATGCAAATTTACTACAACAGCATTTACTACTTGTATGAGATATTTGTTCCTCACACTTAACGAAGATCATACATTGGCAAGCCAAATTCATTTTGACAAACCTTCCCTATATTTATTATTTTATGATTTCTTACAATTGACTAGACCACTTCCACAAAGGAAACCAACCAGTCATGTCTGTGCCCTCCCCAATCAAATCCTAACAAAGAGGGGGAACTCTTACCACCCTACCTAGAGGGCGATGATCTTAGATTTTACTGTAGATATCTCGAGCAACTCCCTGGAGAAGTTAAATCAGAGAAGCACATGTCATTTTTTGGAAGCAGTAAATAATGATCAGAAAACATAGCACATCCAATAACCAGGTAAAAGTTAAGATCCTATCTCAGATACACGAAGAAGTGCAATGGTCATATATCATTTACATTTGCAATTAGATTTAGCATAATAACTTTCAGCCCTGAAGTGTTAAATCCAAATATTCACATATCAAAGTCCAAAATGCAAATGCATCCCTGCAAATGTTACTATCGAACAACAAATAAACACAAAAATTAAGCATATTGATGTGCGGGAAAATCACTCACATGGTACAATGATGTTGGAACCAACGTTTCATAAGGCTCATTAAGAGTGATGACAGCGCCAACACCAAGCTGCTTCAACTGCAGAACATCCTTAGGGAATGGAACCGCCCCCAGCAGAAGATACTGTTTAAAAATCAAAATAGAAATAAAAACTCAAATCAATAAATCATGATCCCTTTAATTTAAGATCACATTCCATCTGTGCACCAAGATGTAAAATAGTCGCATTGGTCAAAGTTTCACGAATCTCTCCATTTTCTCCAATTCAGATAATCAGAATTCTAAGAATAACAGGCCCCATTATCCCATCTTTTTCCTTACATTTTCTCCAGTAACTTAAATGCAAAGGAATTCTATTTTCTCAACAACCAAATGGATCATGAAGAACAATTTTAAAGCTCCACTGAACTACTTCATTTTTCAATTTTTTTGTTTTGTTTTGCTTTGTTTTGTTTTTTTTTTTTCCAGCAACCAAACAGATCAAAGAAAAACAACTCCAGAAACTAGTACATACAGTGACAGTCATACAAGGTCTTTATTTTCTCTAGTAACGGAAATACATAGGAATTCTATTTTCTCAACAACCAAATGGATCAAGAAGAACAATTCCAAAAAGCTACTAAACTACCACCCATTAAAACAACACGAAAAATCCTTCGTTTTTCTTTGTAGTCCTCCATTTTCCCAGCAACCAAACAGATCAAACAAAAACAACTCCAGAAATTAAAACATACAGCAACAATCACAGTGATATAAACACAAGACCAAAGAAAACACAAAAAACAGATACAACAACATACACAAATATACATACATATATATATGAAGGGACTTAGAACCAAAACCTGATCAATTTGGTCCCACCATCTGAACTCAGCTTGAATCTTGTTCCGGAAAACATTGTACAGAAGGGTCGGGTAGAACAGGATCCGAGCCCCAGCTCCGACTAGCGCTCTCTTTGCATCGACCCGAACAATCATTCTTCCAGAAACATGGTCGTCACTGTGATTGTAACTTCTTTCATCAGATTCAACCTCGTCCAACTCTTCGATCTTCATGTCACCGATCGTAACAGAAATTCAAACAAAACCACAACACTAACTCCGATTCTGATCAAGACAACCGCGAAACCTCTAAAACCTAATGATTCGATAATTGGGGATGGAATTTGAGTGGTTGAAAAACCCTAAATCGAATTGGGTGAAATCATTGATCGGAATCGGAAAAAAGTGGATTCGAGTGTATGGAGACGGAAGAATTGCATGCGTATGGTGATTATTCCAACGAAATTGGGAAAATTGGTACTGCGATTCTCATCCAACTGCGAAGCAAGAGTAGAGTCAAATGGGTAGAACGGCAAGCTTAGGAAATAGGTTATTTTAATATTTTTTTTAAAAAAAAATTATTAAATAAAATTTTAATTTTTTATGAAAAAATATATAAAAATATAAATTTTAAAAAAAAAAGAATTTTTGATATTTTAATAGGGACATTTTTTTATAAATTCTTTTTCACCAACTTTCTTCTTTTTTTTTTACCAGCAAAAAAAATACTATTGATGTAATGGAGTATGCAAAGTATGATGGTACATCAATAAAGGAGAAAAGAAAGAGCAAGCATCACATGACTACTACTCGATCCCATCAAACTTGACACCAAGAGAGAGTCATAACAGATGCTAACAAAAGCCACAAAAGTTGGTAAAATACCAACAAGAGGCAAAAGCCACAAACCAAAGACACACGAACTCAAACAAACCCTGCACATATGGAACCTCAAAGAGCCAGCCTAATCTGGTGAAGATTGGACACATTGTCATGAACTGAATAATCCACCTCCAAATGCCATTTAATCCACAAGGCTATCTGCACCTTAATTTTTTCACACAGTTCTTAAATATTAGGATGAGCACCCTTAAACTAGCATTCATTCTTCAATTTCCAAACAGACCATAAAACAATAGAAGGGACTATCTGTCATACTTTGAGTATCCAAGCCTTGAACTTGCCTCCAGCCCACCAGTGCAACATATCTGCTACTGATCCTGGTATGGCCCAAACCTGATCCCACTAATTAACTATGTTAGACCAGCATTGCCACACCAGAGGACAAAGCATAAGTACATGATCAACAGATTAGAGGCAAAAGCCACAAACCAAAGACACACGAACTCAAACAAACCCTGCACATATGAAACCTCAAAGAGCTAGCCTAATCTGGTGAAGATTGGACACACTGTCATGAACTGAATAATTCACCTCCAAATGCCATTTAATCCACAAGGCTATCTGCACCTTAATTTTTTCACACAGTTATTGAATATTAGGATGAGCACCCTTAAACTAGCATTCATTCTTCAATTTCCAAACAGACCATAAAACAATAGAAGGGACTATCTGTCATACTTTGAGTATCCAAGCCTTGAACTTGCCTCCAGCCCACCAGTGCAACATATCTGCTACTGATCCTGGTATGGCCCAAACCTGATCCCACTAATTAACTATGTTAGACCAGCATTGCCACACCAGAGGACAAAGCATAAGTACATGATCAACAGATTCCACCTCAGAGTGACAGAAAATACACAGATTATTAACATTCATGTCAAGAGCCCCACAATTCTTTGTAGGAAGGAAGAGGTTTTAACCCTACCACGCCAAGCCAACCAACAAAAAAACTGCATTTTTGGAGGAGCTAAACTTACCCACACCCCTGCTGGGACTGCCAAACCAAGACCCCTAGCTGTGACCCTCCACCTCCACACAAATGCTGTTGTGAATTGCCTTGAACTCTCTGCTGACCAGGAGCAAGAATCCTCAATACCAAATCTAAGAGGAGGGGATAAATCCAACATTCCTAACAGCCTCTGCACCTTCTCATCTTCCCAAGCTAATAGATTCCTTCTAAATTAAAGCTGCCACCCTCCTAAGATACTCTTCCTTGCACTGCAAAGACTCCTTCTTCTCTGTTAATAAACTAAATAGTCTGGGAAATTCAGCTTTCAAAACTCTGTTACCTAGCCATGCATCATACCAGAACTGTATTCTCCTCCTATTACCAATTATGATTTTGACCTGATCACCAAAACACTCACCCAGCTACTGGTTGACCACAGAAAGCTGCGAGATATCCTCCTACACTATTGAAGTCCCACCTGGTTGATTAACTGAGGGACTTCATTCCCTCCAATTCTGCCATACCTAGAGTACACCACAGATCCACCACTTTAGTAGTAAGCACTCATTAACCTTACCTAAGTCCCTTACTCCCAATCCTCATTGACTTTTGCTTTTGGTGACCTCTTTCCATTTAACCAGGTGCACTTTCCTATTGATTGCAGTCCTTCCCCGCAAAAAATTGGCCTGAAGTTTAGAAATAGTCTTGATAACCCCCTTAGGCATTTTGAAGATAGAAAGAAAATAGATTGGCAAATTGGATAGGGCTGATTTAATCAGAGTTAGTCTTCCAGCTAAAAGATAACAACTTTATCTTCCAAGATGAGAGTTTCTTTTGAAATTTAGCCACAACTAGGGACCAAGTGCTCTTCCTTCTGGGATTGGACCCTAAAGGCAAGCCTAAAAAATTAAATGGTAGCTTCTTTGACAAACAATTCAGAATCTTAGCAAAGTCCTTAAATTGGTCTTCTTGGTAGCCCACCCCACAAACAACACTTTCGTGATAAGTAACCTTTAATCCAAATATCACCTCAAAGCACCTCAACACCCTCTTTATATTCAAAACTTCCTCCTTACCACCTTCACAAAAAATGATAGTGTCGTCTGCAAATGGAGATATGAAATTCTCAACTAGTCAAAGCCTATTGTAGCACCTTTGATCAAGCCCTTCTTTACCGCCCTTTTCAATAAAAGATTAAGACCTTCAGCTGCAACAATGAACAGAAAAGGAGATAAACGGTCCCCTTGCCTTAACCCCTTCTAGGGTTGAAACTCCTCAGTGGGTGCACCATTGACCAATATAGACACCTTAGCTGTTGTAATGCAAGTTTTCATCCACCTAATCCATCTTGCACCAAAACCAAAATTACCCAACATTGACAACAAAAACTCCAAGTTTAAAGAGTCATAGGCTTTCTCAAAATCCAACTTCAAGATAATACCTTTCTTTTTAGCTGTATGCCACATATCTACAACTTCATTAGCTATCAATACACCATCTAGAATATGCCTACCACTTACAAAAGCTTATTGCACCTCACTGATCACAGCTGGAAGCACCTACTTCATTTTTCTAGATAGAACCTTGGCCAAGATCTTGTAAATAGAACTAACCAAGCTAATTGGCCTATAGTCACCCAAACTTGCTAGATTATCCTTCTTAGGTATAAGGACAATGAAAGAGCTATTTATCCCACTTGATAACTTAGCATTTGTATGGAATTCCTGAATCATTTGAATTATTTCACTTTTCATTACAGGCCAACACCTCTATATGCATGCAAGATTGAAGCCATCTGGTCTAGGGGCGTTGTTCCCATCACAATCTTTAATAGCTGCCCATATCTCATCTTTAGAGAACATTGCTTCCAAATTAGCTGCATCCTTAGAGTTGATAACATCAAAGGAACTTGAGATCTTTGGCCTAACAACCCAATCCTTTGAGAACTATTGCCTAAAGTGCCTGACCACATTTTGTTTAATCTGAACAGGGACCTCAAGGCTTACCCCCTCCACAATGACTATATCTAACATATTCTTTCTTTGTCTCCTACTGGCCATGATGTGGAAAAACCTAGTGTTTTTATCACCATTTTGAGCCTATAACATTCTGGACTTTTGATGCCACAACCTATCCTTATTTCTACTTAGTTTCCACACCAAACTTCTAACGTCTCTTCTGCTTCTAAGCTCCATATTAGTCAAAGGCCTAAGTTCTGCCTTCAAATCTCATTCATGCAATTCGTCTTCTGCTATCTTTAAGAGAGAGTCAATATTACCAAACACCTCCTTATTCCACACCTTTAAGTAAGATCTTAGGACTTTCAGTTTTCTCAATAGTCTATACTTTGCCCATCTTGACACTTGACTGGTCTCCCAAATCTATCGAACTTCAAATATAAAGGTAGGGTGTGACAGCTAAGGATTTAAGAACTTGAAAGGTTTAGGACCCCAATCCCTTTCATCCTCTTCCAACAGAATTGGGCAATGACCTGATATGGTTCTAGGTAGACCCCATTACTTGAGAGAAAACTTTTCCAACCACCTTGAATCCAACAGAAATCTATCTATCCTACTCCATCTTTCCCCATCTAATGCATTACACTAAGTAAACTATCTACCTAGCATAGGCAGATTAGACAATTCCAATTTGTCAATAAGCTCATTAAAGTCCTTTATCCATCTCTCTCTTCTTGAGCACCCTATCCTCTCACTCATGAACCTAATTTCATTGAAATTCCCACCCACACACCATGGATTTGAATAATGAGGGTATACACTTACTAGAGCCTCCCATAACTGTCTCATTCTCAAAACCTCACTTGGAGCATAGATATTGACAATGACACACTCAAAAGAAAAACATTTGGAACCTGATAGTAGGATAAAATTCTTGCTACAATAGCAATCTATGAGCTTAAAGACATTTGGCCTCCAAATGCACAAAAGGCCACCTACACTGCCATCTGAATCTACTCCCAAGAAATCCATCTCTTCATAAGGCCAAATGGTTTTCACAAAGTGTTCATCCATAGTACTTCTTTTTGTTTCTTGCAATAATAAAACGTCTACCTTCCTATCCTTCATTAGATGTTTGATCTTCTCCCATTTTTATGGCTTGCTCAACCTTTTAACATTCCAAGATAAAATCTTTATAATTAAACTTGCATGTCACTCCCATTTCCCCTGTTGGTAAACAGCTAATTTCTGTTTTGCCCCTTCTGTACTTGCAACGCTTTCCAAATCATTCTTTTCTAACTCCACTATCTTGCTCACAACCTCATATTCTTGACCATACTACAACCCCAATGTTGTTCCTACCTTCAGAGTTGTCTTTGCCTCTTCTACCAAATTTCTCCTTCTAATCCTCGAGATACTCTGGCATGATGACAAAGATGAAGCCACTGCTGCTGCTGAAGCTCTGAAAATGGCTCCTCTTGGAAAGCCAAGGCCGTTGACCACACCTTTCTGTTTGCTAATAACACCTGCTAATCTACTACCCCTCTTTGAAATGGAGCCTTCTTCCAAGTATTGTGGGCTTTGTGAACTGCTACTTCTTTGCCTTTACTGCTGCCAGTAACCCTCTTTCCCAAATTCTTTTGTATAGTTAGACCAGATTGGGCCTAAGACTAGGTTGGGCCACACTGGCACCCAAGTTCAAACCCATTCTATTTTTTGATCCACT